TAGCTTCGCTGGATATACCAATTTGGGTTGGCAGTTACTGGTTATCAGGACTCGGATGGTACTTTCCCAGGCTTTCCTTGCATTCATTGTCTGTGTGGAGAGATCTGCAGTGATTCTGATTTTTTTTTTTCCATTTTAGTATAGCTCCTTCTTTGCTTTTGCTGCATGCAAGATAGTTTCTTTATTATTCAGAGCTAGCCTTTTTACTATGATGTACCTAGAAGTGTTCCTCCTAGAATCCTGTTTGCTAGGTGTTCCGTATGCTTCTGTTATGTAGGTGAGATTTTTCTCTTTTAAGATTGGGGAAATTGCCGGGCGCCGGTGGCTCACGCCTGTAATCCTAGCTACTCAAGAGGCTGAGATCTGAGAATCTCGGTTCAAAGCCAGCCCGGGCAGGAAAGACCATGAGACTCCTATCTCCAATAAACCACTAGAAAACTGGAAGTGGCGCTGTAGCTCAAGTGGTAGAGCGCTCGCCTTGAGCTGAAGAGCTGAGGGACAGCACCCAAGCCGAGAGTTCAAGCCCCATGACCGACAAAAAAACAAACAAACAAAGATTGGGGAAATTTTTGGTGATAATTTTATTGAATAAGTGTTATACCTTTCTAGTATTCCTCACCTTTATCCATCCTTAATATATGAAGGTTAAATTTCTTGGCATTGTCTGCTCTTTCTTGGACTTCCCTTTGGCATATTTTGAGTGTTTTTTCCTTATCTGTGACATTTCTCCCAATTGCTGCATTTTTCTTTTTTTTTGGTCGGTTGTGAGGCTTGAACTTTGGGCCTGGGCACTGTCCCTCTTCAGCTCAAGACTAATGCTCTAACACTTGAGCCACAGGCCACTTCCGTTTTTTTTCTGCTTATGTGGTGCTGAGAATCGAACCCAGGGCCTCATGCATCTAAGGCAAGCACTGTATCACTGAGCCACCTTCCCAGCCCACAGTTTCTGCATTTTGTCTTCAGTACCTGATATTCTATTTTCCATTTCATTCACTCTGTTAACTTCCATTGTAGTTTGCGTAGAGGAAATGGAACTATTTATGATTTCTACGTCATTTCTCAAAGTATTAATTTTGTTTTTTAGCGATGTGTGTACTGCATCTATTCTTCAGTGCATTTCTTTTTGAAATCCCGAATCCCTTTTAATAATTGTTACTTAGTTCTTTAAATTTCGGATCCATTTCTTCAATTCTGAGTCTTTGCCTCTACCAACTCTTGGGTGTAGAGTTTGTCTTCCACTTCTTTTTTGCCTTCACTAGAGTTCTTCCCTGCATGGCTGCTGGCCTTTGGGAATGGCTTGCTGTATTGGCTGTTGATGAATTTTGTAATTTTTCACTGTGTTTTTCGCATGAGGATTCAGGGATTATTAGAGTCAAATCCCAAACTCTGTTTTGGGCAGTAGGTGTCTGTCTTCACTTGGTTCTGGGTTGGTTCCTGGGTCAGTAGCACCCGCCTGGAGCACACAGGTTGGGCTCCTTCCGCCGCCAGCTGCTGTAGCCCGTGAATGCAGTTCCCAACTTCAGCCAGGGACCGGCAGCATAGCTCCACTTGGACTCCTGTCCAGTTACCTCCAGATTTTTGACTGGTTAATTGGGGTCTTTTCTGCCTGGGTCGGCTTTCAAACTGCTATCCTCAGATTTCAGCCTCCTAAGTAACTAAGGTTACAGGTGTGGGCTTCTGGCACCTGTCTTATTTCCATTTTTAATTGAGATATAATTTATGTAGCATAAAATAACCTTGTAAATAAATAGATAATTCATTGGCTTTAGTTTATTCATAAAACTGTGCAATATGAGGATTTTCTAATTTCAAAGCATTTTAGTTTCTTAGACTTAGGGTACTAATTAAGAAATATTACACCCAGCATGGCGGCACATGCTTATAATCCCAGAACTTGGGAGGCTGAGGAAAAAAAAATATTAAGTTCAAGACCAGTCAAACTATATAGCCAACTTGCTTAAAAAATAAATAACATAGCACACCTGTCATCCTAGCTACCTGGTTAAGGTCCAGGCTGGCCTGGGAATAAAAACAAGAAGAATAATTATTTGAGAAATAACTGAAACAAAATGGGCTAGGAACATGACTCAAACACAGAGTCCCGAGTTCAAACCCCAGCACCACCATGTAGAAAGGTTTCATACTATTCATGGCTGGCCCTGTGTGTGTGTGTGTGTGTCTGTGTGTATGCATGCATGCGTGCATTTACGTGTGCTGGTGTGCCAGTTCTGGGGCTTGAACTCAGGGTCTGGGTGTTATCTCTGGCTAGTTTTGGAGCCAGTAGTCCTATCAGTGACTCCTGGGAACATGGCCTCTGTTCCACCTGTCAGTCCTTTGTCCTGGGCGGTGGTCTGCCCTGTGGCCTCTCCCATGGATCTCAGGAGAGACTTCCAATGTAGTTATTTATTTTTACCATTGTGTAGTGCTTTGTTAGATGGTATACACTATCAGTCAGAGTCCTTTAGATGAAATTTGGGTTATTCCTAGTCTTATGCTTTTAAAATAGTAGTGTGAACAGTTTTTTGTACCTGTGTTTTCTCTTTATTTTTTTATTTTTTATGTTACTGGTATGTGAACTCAGGGCCTCTTGCAAGCACTGCCACTTGAACCTTGTTCTCAGCACTTCATTAGTTTTTCAGATAAGTCAGCCTGGGGCTGGCTTTGGGCGGAGATCCTCCTGTCTCCACCCCTGGGTTTGCTGGGATTATAGACATGTCTCTCTCACTGCAGCTTGGGATGAGGTTCCTTCACGATTTCTTTTCCTGTTGTATCAGATTTTCTTCACCGTGATGTGGAGCAGTTTATGCTTTCATTGTCTTGTTAGATCTGTGCTCCAGTTCCCAGTTGTGGTTTAAATCGCTAGTTACTTAATTCCTTTGTTTGTACAAGAGCTTCTCTAGGACTTCCTGTTCTTCAGTTTGGATACCTTATAGTTTTGTCTTTGTGCTTAATTGACTTACTGTTCCTCATCAACAGTTTAAACAGTAGTGCAAGTCGAAGTATAATTACAGTGAGTCTGATAATTCTACTCCTGTGGTTGTAGACAGAGGTGTGGATTGTGCTTGTGGGTTAGTTTGTTTGGTCAATATTCAGTTTGTTTTTTGTAAATTGAAGAGGCAGGAGAGATGCTACTGGTTCTTCTTGTCTCGGGCCTCCATCCTCCCAATTATCTCATTTCTCAATCTAGGTTTTGCTTAGCTACTTGGTATTGTTCATGGTGCTGTTTCTGGAAGCAGCCAGAAGCTGTGCTGGCTGTAACAGCCAGGAGCTGTCCTTGGTGCTGATGGCAGTAGCCAGCCAGTTTAGTGTAGTGACTCATTCCCCACCCTCACCCCCACTGTCCATGGTACTGGTCATTCAGTCAAATGCTGTCCATGGTTTGCTGTGTGTCAGTCCCAGAATCCTTGGTTTAGCTAACTTTAATTTCATGATAGTGCTATGAGAGTGCAGACAGTATTTCTCTCCTGATTTTACAGACATGCAGACGCATGCCTAAGCTCACCCAGATAGCTCACCCCTTAGTGATCTGTCTGCTTCTTGCTCCCTTAAAGAAGCACAGACATATGCCCAGGTTGGGCACCGCCATTTCTGCGGGACACTTCTTAACACAGAGCAACAGTGTTCTGGGGACATATATAGACAAATGGACAGTAGACTTCTTAGAACAAATTCACAGTGACTTCAGTGTACTTGAGTACTGCAGCGTATCCCTGTGGGAATGAAGCTTAGCTTCCTAACACCATATCCAGAACCAGCTGTGGTGGAGTTTAGATACAAACATGGAGGGCAAAATGATAAAGTGTCTAGAAGAGAAAACAACATCATCTGCACCTTCCTGATATGTGGAGTCTTTAAGAAGACACAAGAAAGAAGCACTGGCCGTGAAAGAGAAGAGGGTGAGTGGATGTGCTCACACGGGACCTGGTGTCAACCATGAAGGAAGTGGGAAAGGCTCACTGTGATTTTCTAAACTCTGCCACAGCTGGTTCTGGATATGGTGTTGGGAAGCTAAGCTTTGTTCCCATGGGATATGCTACTGTTTCTTCTCCCTTATTTGATACAGAAGAAAGCACAGGCCTGGGTCCTTTCCTTCCCAAACTCTCACCTCACTTTGTCTTGGTTGTTTGGAGCCCTGTTCCCTGGCATGACATGGTTGGTGGGGAATCACCTGAGGGCTTGCCTCACACCACCACAAACATACCTTTGGCTGTGTTCTGTGGGTGTTCTTTTCTTTTATCTTTTCTTTTCTTCTTCTTTTTTTTTTTATCACTGGGTTTGAACTCAGAGCTTGAGTGCTGTCGGTGAGCTTTTGTGAGCTCACAGCTCTACTACTTTTGAGCCCAGGCTGGCTTCAAACTACAGTCCTCAGATCTCAGCCTCCTGAGTATTCAGGATTATAGGCAGGAGCCACCAGTACCTGACCTGTGGATCTTAAGCAAGCTGCAGGTCCCGCCTCTGTGAGCCTGAAATTTCAACTATGTGGTTCTGAGAATTTTGCGGCGTCTGGTGTGCTTGCTGCTAGAAGGGAGCTGAGGAATCGGGCTTTGATGATTGTTGTCTAACTGTCTTTCTTTTGCTTCTGAGGTAAACAAATGATGACATGGACAGTCCATAAATGTGCCTTTTCTGCCAACAAAAATATGCAGTACATTAACAGTTTGGTCATTATCTGGAAAACTAAGGGTTTTAAATTAATTCTCACAGCTGGAGACTGTTCTATCAATTTGCTGTTTCTTACTAAATCAAGTTCAGTGCAAATGTGTCATGAATTATGTGGTTCAGAACCACTTAGGGTTAGACATTGTGAGGGAGGAAAATAGCCCATTCCCAAATCTACTGCCCCGCTATGAGGGCATGCGGGGCTCTCCCGGAACATCACCTCAGGCCGTGCCAGCTCTCGCCTGACCTCCTTCCCTGGGGACTGAGAGTTTGAGAATCTCACAAGTAAATTGGTGACTTCCACTCAGTCTAAAACAAAGCTGGCTTTTCCTTTCTTGTAGGAGCAACGCACTGTCTACAGACTGACACTGGTCAAGTCTTGGAACGTGGATGAGCTCCAGGCTTATGCCCGGCTAGTGTCCCTGGGGAACCCCGACTTCATCGAGGTGAAGGTAGGTCCCAGGCCCTGCGCCCTCATGCTGTGCTGGCGGAGGCACACTCAGCAAGTGCTCTCAAGCTCTCCGTAAGGGCTGAGGCCCTTGGCTTCCTCACCCCTCCAGCAGTATTCACTGGGAGCCTGCTGCACCCAGTATGCTCCTGGGAGAACTGCCGTAGGGAAGACTAAACTTGTCTGCGGGAGCTTGCATTTAGTGAGGCCAAGATGACACAGAATGAGTCATTCTACATAGGGACAGTAACCTGGGAAGTAAGTGTTTTGGTGAGGATTCATCTGGCTTTTAATAAACATTTACTATGGAAGATGTGAAATATCATTTCAGAAGTAGATGGGTGGGCATCTGCTGATCCCAGGCACCCATCACCCACCTTAACACTAGCACCTCTGAGAGTCATTGCACCTGTACCCAGCCTATTTTCTCTACTCTCATCCCAGACTCCCAACATTGTCTCATTCTCTCAGATCTGAGATCTGTGCCAGGCTTGCACTTAAACATTTTAAATTATTGGAACACTAAGGCTTCAGATTTTAAGGATAATTTCTTCTTAAATTAAACGATTTATTTTTGCTGGAGATTGAGCCTCAGGGCTTTGTGCATGCTAAGCAAGTGCTTTATATTGTCAGCCCCAGACTTTATTTTCCTCCCTTCTCCTTTTTCCTATCTTCCTATCCTTTGCTTCCCTTTTTTTTTTTTTTTGGTGCTGGTGCTAGGACTTGAGCTCAGGGCCTCTTGTTCTTGTTTTGTTTTTCCACTCAAGGTTTACACCTCCAGTTCTGGCTTTTTGGTACTTAATTGGAAATCAGAGTCTCACAGATTTATCTGCCTGGGCGGTCTCTGTAACTTGATACTCAGATCTCAGCCTCCTCACTAGCGAGGATTACAGGCTAAGACCATAGGAGCTTCCAATTCCCATGTCTTAAGTTTCTTCCTCAGCACTCTCTTATGCCTTTTCTCTTTCTTACATTTGTATATTAAATATATATACACACATATATATGTATATTTTAAATATACACACATATACACACAGAAAATGGATTTCCCCCAGCATATCCTGTGGACTTGTACTTAGATCAAGAAGCCAATTTCTATACTATTGGTGGGGAATTCAACTAATGCAGCTATCATGGCAATTTGTATGGAGCTTCCTTATAAAACTATAAACTTCCACATAGTCCTGTTATACAATGTGGTGTTTATATGCAAAGGAATATTATTCAGACATAAAGGAGAACAGTATGTCATTTGGAAAGAAATGGATGGAACTGAAGATCATTGTGTTAAGCAAAGTCAGCCAGATCCAGAAAGACAGATGACACTTTTTTTTTTAATTGAGATTAGGTAATTACATAAATTTCACATATTCACAGTATTATAGATTACTTTCTTTTTCAAATACGGAATCTAGACTAAGAAGAGACATGAAATTAGAAGGGAACTATTTGGGAAGAGGACAAGGAATAGTTGGGCGGGGGATTGGGGGAAGGGGGAAGGTGGGGAGGAGGCCAAAGAGGGTCACAGGGTGGTGGGGATGGGGGTTAACATTATCCAAGTGCTTGATGGACACAAAACACATGGAAGGAGCAGTGAACATATAGTATAGTGAAACCCACTATGTTGTACAGCTAATACACTCTAACAGAAGACCGATCAAACTCAGACAGAGTGTGTGTCCAGAAAACATCACCCTGGTGATCCTGCCTGGTGTCCATTAGCACTGCTCATTCCAGGTATATTTTGGCAGTGTTCTTAGGGATGGATCCCTCTAGGTGGATTTCTGGGTGAAGAGTGAATATGTATGCTGTTTTGATAGTGTTTATGGCTTCCTGTTTCAGGAAGGCTCTTCTGAGAGGATGGCTTTTTTAGGAAGCCTGTTGCCTGGTACTAGAAGCAAGATAGTAGGCAAAGTTTAGTAGGGTGGTAGCATTGTGGCAGGGAGCAGGACAGCACAGGCAGCACCCTTAGGGTTGCTGCATGCAGGGTGGATCAGGAGCTCTGGGACAGATTGATGAAGCACTTTGAGGAAAGGTGGGGAATTGGACTTGAACTTAAATTTAAGCTTTTTAAGTACGAGGTGCACTAGGGTATTACTCCTTGAGAATAGAAGCTGGGTACTGATACAGCCTGGTTAATGATTTTTAAGGATCGCTCACTCCTGGGCCACGAGTGGACTGTGGAGGGTAGTGACAGAAGTTTGTAGACCAGTTTTGAAGTTATTGCTCAGTCCTAGCAAAATCTGTGATGATTGAGGAGCTCACTTGTAATGCAGCTGGAGAGCAGTGGGTGCCTTTAATATACTTCTTGTTAGTAGAGCCTATAAAATTTACAACTACATGCACTGAGTGAGAAAATAGAGATCATGAATAATACCTGAGGGCACATTGATGCACTCCTGTCATCCTAGCTACCTGAGTGGTGGTAGAAGTGGGAGGATTGCCATTTGAGTCTAGCCCAGGCAAAAAGTTACCAAGGCATTGGTAGTGGATCACTGTGAGGCCAGCCCCAGGGAACAGCACGAGGCCCTGTAGAGGGACAAACTAAAGCAAAAGGGTTGGAGGCGTGGCTCAAGTGGTAGAGAAATGTTAGACCCTGAGTTCAATTTCCTGAACTGACCAAAGAACAAGAAAGAATACCACCTGGGTTTTGGCTTGGACAGTGACATGAAGGTGAGGCAGTTTACCAAGGTAGAGAAAGCCAGGAGGCAAGTTACGGGACAACACTGTGAATTTCCTGTTAGCTCTGTTAAAACAGACATCTTTTAAGTACCATGGATAGGTTCGAACAGGCCATGGAGTCAGGATTTAGTATTCATCAGCATGAAATGATAGTTAAGCCTGTGGAGGCTTAGGAGGCAAATGACTTTTGTTGGTTTTTGTTGTTGTTGTTGTTTGTTTTGTTTTGTTTTTGTCATCAGTTATGGGGCTTGAATTCAGGGCCTGGGCGCTGTCCCTGAGCTTTGCTGCTCGGGGCTAGTGCTCTACCACTTTGAACCACAGCACCACTTCTCGTTTCATGGAGTTTCCTATCAGAGCTGGCTTTAAACGCAACCTCCTGAGTAGGTAGAATTACAGGCAGGAGCCACCAGTTCCTGGCCCACCAATGACTTTTTTGTTGTTACTGTTTCTTGTTTGTTTATTGAGACAAAGTCTCACTGTGAAAATGAAGCCTTTTCGTTGGATTTGAACTTGTAGTTCTCCTGCCCTGGCCTCTTGAGTAGTGAGGGTTACAGGTGTGCACCACCACACTCAGCTAAGAGGCACATGACTTCTGTTGAAAATTAAGTGCCCACAAAATAAGAGAAAGTGGCAGGAAAATTCCTTGTCTCTGAAAGCTGACCCTACTTTCGAAGCATGTGTTTTTAAAGTGAATGGTCTGTGTGCATGAGGGGCAATGCAGATGTTCACAGCTGTTTGTAAATTCAGCTTTCTCTATTACTCTACTCTGGAGAGGCAGAGGGCGCAAATGAGATGTTGTTCCCTGACTGTGTATATTTTATTCATGTTTTCTTTTGAAATTGTTCTTAATTTCAAAAAGTGACTCTTGGCCAGAGCTTTAATGATGCAAAGATACAAATTGTATCTGAAAATATATGTCCTGGCTTAAAACTGTGCCAACATTAGCAATCAGTGGTGCTTTAATTTACGATTTAGCTATTAAAGTATGCTGCCTCAAATTATGGTGCAGTAAAACCTCTATTATTATAAAGCAGCTTGGCTGATGACTTGGTCACTTTATATCTCCCTCCTTCCTTCCCTTTCTTCTCTCCCACCCCTCCTCATTTCCTTTCCCATCTCAGTTAATAAAAGATGGACAGAGTGGAGGATATCTGTCATTTCAGCTCTGCAGGAAGAACTGGAGGGTCAAGATCCAGACCAGCTTAGGCATAAACAAGAGACCCTGTCTAAAAACTATGAAAGCAAAGGACTGAAGGACTGACCACATGGTCATATACCCACCAAGCAGGCCTAGGGCCCAAGTTTACAGGCCAGGATCATCAAAAGTAATAAATACAGGAAGTGGTACTGTGTCAAGTGGTAGAGTGCTAGCCTTGAGCTAAAGAGCTGAGGGACAGTGCTCAGGCTCAGAGTTCAAGCCCCATGACTGACCAAAAAAAAAAAAAAAGATAGTAAGAAATGTAGTTCTAGGACTTGAAAATAGAAAACATACATGGTATTATACCAAATTGTGTGCAGATTAGCAAACACACAGGGTACGTGTGGCTGTAACACCCTTGGGTCAGGTTGGAGATAGGCAGTACCTGGCAGGCAGAGGCAGGATTGTGAGTTCAAGGCTAGCCTGCACTATATAATGAGACCTGGTTTCTGAAGAAGAAGAGTTAGAAAAGAAACGAGAGAAGGGTGGGTAGAGCGTGCACATGCTGGACTGGTATGGTGGCTAGCCACAGCCCTTGCATCTTCTCTCCCAGACAGGCGTGATCCTCATGCTGGCATGGGCCTGGTAAGCACATGTAGGGACCACGCTCAAGGGTGCTGTGGAGAAGACTGTGTGTGTGTGTGTGTGTGTGTGTGTGTGTGTCCCATGCTCGAGTGCGCAGAGCATGGCATATGTGGTCCACATGGACCAGGCTGCCCAGGGCCCAGGTGTGGTCAGTCTAAAACGAAAGGACACATCTTCTCCAGGGGCAGGGGATCCTGCAGTATCCCTGGTACCTGATCTGGTAACAATTAGGTACATTTCATTAGGCACCTTTATTTAAAGTACATCAGTAGAAGCTATTCTTTTATTATGCTGATTTCCTCTGTTCTTTCATTGCTAGTCTTGTGAAGTATTTGTCTTTTCATTGTAAATTAACATGCATTTTAGCTCAATTAGATGTAAACAGGTCTTTATTTGTTGGTCTGAGACTCTGAACTGTCATTATTTGCTTGCTTATTTATGAAACAAATGCCTGCTTCATTGCAAACTCTAGCAGCAAATCTATTTGTGCCAGAAGTCCTGTTTGGTATGCTCCGCCTAGCATTGCACCATGGGAGCTGCAAGAGCTTGAAATAATAAAAACATAGAAAGTATGGCTGAGCTGGGCACAGTGGCACAGTGGCTCAATATGCAGAGATCAGATCACAAATCAAGGCCAGCCAAGCAAAAAGTTCACATGATCTCCCCATTGTCCCAATGTCAGGCAATGTAAAGTGGGGTGAGGTGGTATGTGCCTGGCATCTCAGCTGCCTTAGCACTGCTGGGTGCTGTCCCTGAGCTTTGCTGCTCAGGGCTAGTACTCTACCGCTCTGAGCCATAGCACCACTTCCAGTCTCACGGACTTTCCTGCCAGGGCTGTCTTTGAACTATGGTCCTCAATGTCAGCCTTCACAGAGGCCGGGGAGGCGCCTGATTGTGTTAACAGTGGAGCCATAACCCCGAAAGAGAGGGAGAGTCCTGAAGAGTTCTGGCACTGGCTGTATAGAACACATCACCTGATCCTTGCTCATGTAGTTTAGCTTGGTAGGGGCACAGAGAGCACCCAGGCGCAGTCCTGCTTGCCAGGAGCTGAGCTCAGGCCCACCCTCACACCCACTTTCTGATAACTTCCACATAGGTGATGAAGAGACTGAGGTCAGTGGGGAACCAGCCCCAGTACAGGGCTTAGGGTGGTTCAGCTCTGAAGACATTTGCGCATGCGCACAGGGTAAGGGCTCCCAAGTGGCCTCCAGTCCCTTGTGAGACAGTTTATGAAGGAAGGTGAAGGCCTCGTCCAGGCCGTGAGGCCGGGCTGAACTGAGGGGAGCTGTGGACACTTTTAGGGTAAAGACATGTTTGAGTATGTTACCAAAGCCAGTATTTCTTTAGTCATTAAACTTGGGGCAAAAAAAGTTACAGCAGTCTTTTGGCATCCATTCAGTTAAAGTGGAATATCAAAGTCAAAGTGCCCAGATACTGCTCTTCTCCTAGATGGAGACCCCAGATCAAACTTCCCTCTGGCTCCCAGCTCCCGGAGTAGCGCTTGACCACATGGAGATGCCCCTCCTCAGCCAGTGATTCCACACCATGGTTTTGCCTATCAGTGCATTTCCCTATCAGTGGGTTTCTTCAGGTTGCTGGGGGAAGACGTGGCGGCTGGTAGTGAGTAGATGGGGTGGCTGAGGAGGGGCAGGCAGCATCCAGTTCTGTTGGGAGACAGTCCATGTTTCTAGATAATTCAGAGTCTGTTGTGCTTTCTCAGGAATGGCTGAGCAGAGGGATCTGCGGACAGCAAGGTGTGGGGTCATGGGGGTGACCTCCACTCCTGTCATGGAGTGTCCAAGAGCTTGTCCCAGAGGTTCCAGTCCTGTTGCCCACATTCCTGGCTGACTCAAGGAGCGCTCCTGTGGGGCCCTGAGGCGCAGCAGAGGTGAAGGCGGTGGCCTGTGGCACTCCCTCATTCCTTTGCCAGACCTGGTTTCCTTTCAAGTTCACCATTTCTCATTGCCAGATAATAAACTAGCAAAATGTTTTCGGAAGCTGTTTTCATGAATATAAGAGCTTATCTGAAATCTCCATGCTTTAGCAAACTTTTTAAATAGTAAGTCCCGGCTGGGAAGGTGACTCAGTGGTAGAGTGCTTGCCTGGCAAGCCTGAGGCTGGGTCCGATTCCTCAGTACCACATAAGCAGAAAAAGCTGGAAGTGGCGCTGTGGCTCAAGTGGTAGAGCGCTAGCCTTGAGCTGAAGAGCTGAGGGACAGCGCCCAGGCCCAGAGTTCAGGCCCCACGACCAACCAAAAATAAATAGATAAATAAATAAATAGTCCCTCTGAGTTAGCTACTACCCATACGATTTTACTACCACTATTCATAAGCAATTTAAAATTGAAATTAAATGTATTCCATGACCTTATCAATAAATCACTTCCTGTTTTTTTGTTTTGTTTTTTGTCGTGGGGCTTGAACTCTGGGCCTGGGCACTGTCCCTCAGCTCTTCAGCTCAAGGCTAGCACTCCACCACGTGAACCACAGTGCCACTTCCTGCTTTTTCTGTGTATGTGGTACTGAGGAATCAAACCCAGGGCCTCATGTATGCTAGGCAAGCGCTCTACCACTGAGCCACCTTCCCAGCCCCATTTCCTGTTTTTTATGCATTTCGGTAAATTTCAGCAGTTTTTCAGTAATACTTTCTTTCTTTTTTGTTTTTTGTCAGTTGTGGGTCTTGAACCCAGGGCCTGGCCATTGTCTCTGAGCTATTTTGCTCAAGGCTAGTGCTCTACCACTTGAGCCACAGTTCCACTTGCAGTTTTTTGGGGGACAGTCTATTGGAGATAAGAGTCTTAGAATTTCCTACCTGGCCTGGCTTCAAGCCACAATCCTCAGCTCTTAGCCTTCTGAGTAGCTAGGATTACAGGTGTGAGCCACTGGTGCCTGGCTATTTTAGTTATTTAATAGAGTCTTATTTCTATGCCCCATCTGGCTTATGCATACTTTCTAGGCAGCTGAAATACCACCTTACCCCATTTTACATTGGTTGACATTGGGGCAGTGGGGAGATCTTGTGAACTTTTTGCCTGGCTGGCCTTGGTCTGTGATTCTCCTAATCTCTGTGTATTGAGCCACTGTGCCCAGCTCAACCATACTTTCTCTGTTGTTGTTATTATTATTATGTTCTTCCCAGACTCATAACTGGTTTCCTGAGTTCTGTGAGTCTTGTGGGGCCTAATTCATTTGGGTTGTGGGTCATTTGTATTCAGCCTTGGGTACCAGTCATCTTTCTGAGCAGCCATCTGGGGCAGGGCATTCTACACAGCTCCTCCGAGTCTCCAGCCAAATCCCAGCTGGGCCATCTGCAGGGCACGTCCCTGCAGGCTCACTGGAGAGTGAGCTGCTTTTTAAAATTCCATTCTGCCTCTTCTTGTCTCTGTGCTGTCTCTGCGCGCATGTCTGTGTGAGGAAGTGTGTGCAGCATTGCACCTCAGCGGCTGCCCGCTTGGGAGCCACAGCCTCATGGTAGTCCTTGGGAGGCAGAGACTGGAGCCACCAGGAGAAAAGGGCTGGGGCACAAGGCGAATGGTAGCCAGTTGAGGCCTTGAGTTGAGTGTCTAGGATGGTGGGGGAGGGAGGAAAGGGCAGAGTTTGATTTGGGGAAATGTGAAAAGCTCACGGTTCAGATATCACCTATTTTCAGAATCATTGTCACTACATGATTGACCAGGTGGGGCACTGAGTTATGAAACTTGGGTTATGTATGTCTGGTTTTTCAAGTAGAGTTCAAGACTTAGAAGCCAATTTATATCTTCCAGAAATTCCGTGGGTGCTTTCTAAGACCAGGAGGGAACAGTGGGTCTTCAGATTCCATCTCCTGAATGGTAGGAAGTGCAGCTGACTAAACACAGTTCTCCACAGTGCCCGGTCACTGCAGAGCATGGCCAAGTGACAAGAATCCTGGCCGGTCCTGTGTGTGTACATCTCCAAGTAGCCTAGCTTCCTGCTGTATCGGGCAGGTGCCATCGCCTCCAATGGCTCTAGAAGCCCTTCTGGCTCTGGAAGTTGGACTCTGCCACTCTAGTGAGGTCTGTAACCACCTGCCTGCTGTGATGTTCTCACAGGGTGTCACCTACTGTGGAGAGAGCTCGGCCAGCAGCCTCACCATGGCCAATGTGCCCTGGCACGAGGAAGTGGTGCGCTTTGTTCAGGAGCTGGTGGAGCTGATCCCCGACTACGAACTCGCCTGTGAGCACGAGCACTCCAACTGCCTGCTGATAGCACACAGGAAGGTGAGGCCACCATCCTCCTGCTCCCCTTCCCTCCTTTCTCCTCCCCTCCCAGTCCCTCCCTGCTCCCCTTGACACCTCCTCCTTGCACAAGCCTTCCAGCTGCCTTCTGGTCACACATTGGAAGGTGAGGCTGCTGTCCTCCCGTACCCCTCCTCTCCCTTCCCCTCCCCTCCCAGCTCCTCCTTGCTCCCCTCCTCCCTGCCTGAGCACCCCAGCTGCCTCCTGATTGCACACTGGAAGGTGAGAGTGCTTTCCTTCTGCTCTCCTCCCCTTCCTCCCTTACCCCTCCTCCCTTCACCATGTGCTATATTCCCAAGAGAAACAAGGCCCTCAATTCTCTCTCTTGGGTCCCCTCTCTGTTCCTGAGCATTTTCACTGAAGGCTAGTACTCTACCACTTTGAGCCACAGCACCACTTCTGGAATTGCTCTTTTCTTTAGCCTCATCTAGACATCCCAAAGTGCCTTCTAGTTGTAATTTTTAGAAAGGTGCATGCTTAGAAAAGAAAACCTTGTAGTAACCTCTAGTCCTTCCTGGAATGACAGGAGGAACAAAAATAGTCAGCCCCCATCGGAGCCTCTAGCTGGCAGGAGACATTCGGAAGTGTTTATCAAATAGCCGAGTTTTGTCATCTGGAAGATTTCAGTTTGAGATTCCAGTTCCTGACACTATTTCTGCTCTTCTTCTGTAGCTTGTTTATTAGGCAAGCTGAGAACTCTTCTGGTGTGTGTGTGGGGGGGGTTGTTTTTTTTTTTTGGGGTCTGGCTGTGGGGCCTGAACTCTGGGCCTGGGCACTGTCCCTCAGCTCTTCAGCTCAAGGCTAGTGCTCTACCACTTGAGCCACAGCGCCACTTCCGGCTTTTTTCTTTTTGCTTATGTGGTGCTGAGGAATCGAACCCAGGGCCTTGGGCATACAAGGCGAGCACTCTACCACTGAGCCACCTTCCCAGCCCATTCTGGTGTGTTTTTAAGTAAAAAATTCCTAACAAAAGAAAATCAATTTCTTGTTAGCTTGGTCACTAAGAAGTAAAATTCACGTTTGAACATTTGTGGTGATGATTGTGTCCTGTTTACAAACACATAGTGCCACCTCTGGGGTATACTCACTGATGTAGACTAGTGAGGTCAGGCCTTGAGCTTACTGTGGTTAGATGGTATATGTGTTGGTATGCTGTTAGAACTTGTGTGTGAAGTGTGAGGTCAGGTCTCGCGCTGACCACAGTTAGACTACATATTTGCATGTGATCACCGTTGGGAGAGAGTGAGTTCTGGTCTCACAGAGGTCCAGAGGACAGGAAAGGATCGGAGACTGAACGTTAACGTGAGCACACATGACCTTGCCAAGGTCACTGGTCTCAAGGAAGGATAGAGGAGAGCGGAGGCAGGGCTTTCTTGTTTCCTGTGATGCTCACGGATCCCCGTGTGTGCCTACAGGGCTGTGCTCAACACTAAGGACTCAAGCAGACTCTGCAGAGAGAAAGACCACATCTAAAGAGGGCACGTGTCTACATGTTTTATCCTAGCTGTCAAGGGCGGGGTACAGAGAGGCTGGGGTATGCTGGGCAAGGTGGCTGTTGCAGATGCTTCACTGAGGAAGGACTTGCTCCCTGACTGGACCAGCAGCCAGTACAGACCCAGGACCAGGAGCTGCAGAAATGCTGGGCCCTGGGGAGCTCGTACAGCGGTAGGGAGTAGGGGGAGGGGGGCAGACACAGGACCCTGCTGGGAAGGTGGGAATGGGGGGGGGCAAAGGTAGGGAGGGGGGCTGAGCAAGATTACAGACAGCTACTGTAGAGTTTAAAGGAAGCGGTTTGTGATGTAGCAGGGACACCCCATTGCAGAAACAAAGGAATCATGGGCCCTAGAACCCAGGCTGAGGGGGTGGGGGGAAGGGCTCTGAACACCCACCCCCAACCCACCCCACACTCCCAGCCCCAGGGCTGGGCCCTAGGGAGGGTGGGAAGGCGGGGCAGCCAGTAAAATCCCCTGCAGGTGTGGCCAGCCTACTTCTGAAGTCCAGGGCTCACCCTCTGAAGACCTGAGTTCCAGGACACACTGTGGGCCTTGGTTTTGTCTGGTCGGAGAGTATTACTCCTGCTTCCTACTCTATTCCAGACTGTGTCTGGAGTTGGCATTAGGGGAATTCTCAAGTTAGCGTTGCCATCAGCCCCTAGCACAGCACCTGGGAGTTGCTGCACCCTGCCGCTGGGACGTGTTTAAATTCAGCAAGAACACACCACTTGTCCACCTGCTGGGTGTAGTTTCCTGTCTCCTAAGGCGAGTACAAAGGTTAGTGAAGCTGGAGTCCTCTCTCCACCTCACTCCTCAGCAGGAGACAATCCAGGTAGAAAATGCCTGTCTCCTGATCTAGTTTCTGTAAGTGTATGTCTTTTTAAATGACCATTTCAGGAAGTCAGAGTAATCTGTTGTCTTTGATAGAATTTATCAGCCACTTCTAATAGTGCAGAACACCTCTTGTCATTGTTCTGTGTACTGTGTCTTTCCCAGGTGCCCTCCTCACCGCACTTCCACTCCACAGATCTCAACCTGGGTGTCTGGCCAGCCTGCCAGCTCCGTCCATCCAGGCTGGGCCCCACCCTGCTGCGGTGTGTGTTGTGGGGGTCACCTGTGACCTTTTGAGCTTATTTGTGGTTGTGCGTACATTTACTTCTTGTGTGGCTGGCTTTGAGGAGCCCTTGGAGCGGGAGGACCTCGTGTCTCAGGGAGCTTAGCTGTGAGTTTCATTTTGTGGTCTGGGTTTAATTTCAACATGGTTTGTGTGTCAGTCATACAGATTTTGCCCTTTCAGCCTTTGCCTTTTGCAGGAGACAGTTGACTTTTCCTGAGCTACCTATTCCATTTTCCTTCCGTATCTTCATTCTCACATCTTGCACAGCTTGTGTCAATTCAGTTCTTGTCTTGACCCCCAAGACAAAAACAGATGGTACCTGTTACTGTGTGTCCCCAAATTCCTACATCACTGTTCTAACCCCTAAGTCAGATGTACTTAGAGATGGGACTTGTCAGGAGACATTATAGCTAAAGGAGGCCCTAAGGGTGGGCTCTGGCCCAACAGGACAATGTCCTGATAAGAAGATACCGGAGGAGCTGACTAGCACAGGCAAGCAGACACCATGCAGACATGGCAGGCAGGCTTGGCTGACTTGCACATCAGGAGGGCCCTCGCTGTATCCCAGTGGGCCACATCCTGTCTTCAAGAAGCCAAGAGAAGCGCTGTTCTGTGGTTGGCCGTTCTGGTGGTAGAACTGTGCCCTGCCACCGGGGCTGATTGTGCGTGCATTCTACATCACAGCCACTTGGGGGCTCAGTGCTGACCTGTCCAGTTTTAATGACCATGGTAATCTCCATACATCTTGTTTCTTCACCCTGATCCAGGGCAGAGCTTCAGCATCAGCGTGAGGTCCTCCAGTGTCTGTGGGGTTAAGAAATTCAGTTTTCTGGGTTTCACTCAGCTGGGCTTTATAAACGGTATCCATTCAGTACTATTGCATGTGTGCATGCTAGAATGAACAGTGAAGTATGTTGTTCACTGCAAGCCTTGGTTACCTCGAAAACATTGGTCACTTGCTCCTCACCCTTTGTGCCCCTTGGGCTGGCCATGGCTGGCGTGATGGTAGCTTAAGGGAGTTGGTGAGCAGGGCCTGGGTACGGAGGATCAGACTTCCCATACCTGGAGATTCAACCCCAAAAGAGAGAGGCCAGTGATAGGAGGAACCAGGGGAAGCAGGGCCAAGACGACTCCTGGGGGCCGAGTCTGGGGGCAGCTGCCAAACACTGCCTTTCCCTGCACTCCCAGATCCTTGCCAGACCCCGAGATGGGGCCATGCCCATTGCTGCCCCTCCATGATGAGAGAAGGAGGCAGTAACAGATGCCATCCCTGACCTCAGTCACCTGTGTAGCCACAGGGAAATACCTGCCTCTGAAACAAAAGCAGTATGTCCAAGTTGCATGAGCTCTTAAATGTCCGCCCCACTCAAAGAGTGGAACAGCGTGAACCCCAGGACCTTCTCCTGTGCTGCTCTTGTAAGAGCAGTTCTGTGTGAAGGGCCGGTACTGGCTGGGCGTTACCACATCAGGAGACTGGTGCCTGGGAGTGCTTCAGGAAGCAGTCCATTCTGTTCTGTGAGCAAAGCCAGCAGCAGCACCCACTTGTCCTGGGTGTCCGTGGAGAGTTTCCATCCTGTGGAGGATGGAAGGTTAGAGAGTGAGGAATGGCTGCCCCATGCGGTCTAGGCAATTGAGCAATGACGAAGTGGGGTGGGGGCTCACAGGAGGACAGCGCCAAATCCTGACCATGAGCAGAGATGGAGCAGGCTCAGCACAGAGCTGCTGTGGCCCAGCTTTGTCTAAAGGGATTCGCCCCAGAGCAAGGATAGAGACCCTGGGAGGAAGGAGGTTGTGGTTGAAAGACAGGGACCACCCCAGAAGCCACATGCAGACCTCCTGTTCCATGTGGTGGCATCTCTGCCTCCTGGAGCATTGCCCCAGTCAGCCTGTAAAGGCCACAGAAGCTGAAGTGCTTGCGATGAGGCTGTGACCCGGAGAGATCACCTGGCTGTGCAGGCGCTGGTGGTGGATGGACTGCCAGGTACGGTTCTGAGTGGCCGGGGAGCTGATCACCTTGGAGCAGGTCTAAGCCTGCACCATGGTAGTTTCCTCCACAGGGGTCAGAACACGTAGCTGTGGGTCTTTTTTCAAAAATTACTTTATTGTTACTATAGAGGCGACGTACAGAGGATTACGATTACATGAGTCAGGTAATGAGTACATTTCCTTTTGTACAGTGTCTTCTGTTCCTCCCTCCCAATCCCTCCATCCTGTCTCTACCCACGAGTTGTAGAGTTCATTTTCATCAGTGTCCATTGAGCTCCACTGCTGCACCCAGATTTTTCACCCTTTTTCCCTCGAGTTCTGTACCCTCCCCCCAACCCTCCTGACACACTTGAATACACCATACCTAAGGAAAAGAAGACAGAATCATCAAAAAATTAAAAAAAGAAGATCTCTTGGTTCCGTATCTTGGAGTTCATTTCAATGTACATATTATTTTATGTAAATATGAAGAGACACATAGGCATTGCACCTTTGCAGTTTCCTCTGCTGTCAGGCTTGGGAGAGAAGATGAAGGCTTTTAGGAAGCAATTCATTTAAGAGAGCACAAATTAGATTATTCCCATTTTTCAAATTGAAATTCTTAACAGGCTTTCTCCTAATGAGGTACTGTGTACATACCAGACTTTGGAGCTAGTTTGAGTCATCTAGTTGCACTTCGTATTGGAAGCCATCGATAAACATTTACTAATAACTCAAGCAAGCTCAGTAATAAAAAGCCTTTTGCTAGTGGCCCTAATGCAGCCCTGGGGACACAGAATGGGCTATGAGCATTGGATGTCCTGTGGCCCACTGCTCCAGGCTCCCCGCCTGCCCCGGGATGGCTCTCATCCAGGAGGAGTCCCTCTGCAGGGCACCCCACCCCCACCTGCCCCAGGTGGCTCCTATCTAGGAAGAGGCCCACTGTGGGGCGCCCCTGCCTACTGCCCCTACCCACCATGGGGCATAGTCCAGGGAAAGAAGCTTTCTTTACTGCACTGTGTCTTGGCTTCACAGGATGCTTATTTTGAACATGGATTTCTGTTTATATGATATGATAGAAAAAAAATCAGTCTCCTCTGCAGTTTTTCTGTATTTATTTGATGTTTTTTCCTGTGGGTAGCTTTGCTTCTGACCGAGCACTTTCTTCCAGTTTAAGATTGATGGGGAATGGTGGACATGGATTGATTACGGACGCTTCCAGGAGCTCATCCAGCGGTATGAAGGCAGTGGTGGCTCAGAGACCTTTGGTGCAAAGGACTACATGGCCCGGACTCCCTTCTGGGCACTGTTTGGTGCCCAGGAGCGAGGCTTTGATCCCAGGGACACAAGGCATCAGAGGAAGAGCAGATCGAAGGACGTTTCTGGATGCTGAGCTTATCTGACTTGAGGATGCCAAAGGACACCAGCCAGATGTCCCGGGTGGTTCCTGGGCTCCCTCCCACAGCCTTTCCAAGGACACCTGTCATACTGCTTCTGCCCTACAGAGACAGCAGCCAGCCTGTCACGCCTTTCTACCAGAGCTCAGCTCTTCCTCCTCGATCTTATATCTGAGAAGAATATTATCTGTAGGGAGGTGAAGTAGACAGTCCTTACACAATTGGAATTTAACAGTTTTTTAATTATATTTTGGTATGACTTCCTAAAGTGCTATTCATAAGAGTGCTACACAGGAATAAATAATTGTGCTCCTCCTCTTTCTGGGCTACTGGCTTGTTTTGTTTTTGTTTTAAAATTAAAAGTATTTTTTTGTAGCCCAGGTTGGTCTCAGACGCAAGATCCTCCTGCCTCAGCCCCCCCTGCACCATCTGGCTCTCAGAGCTATTGGCTATTTTGGAGTAGCCGCTTAGCCTTAAACTGAACTGCCCTGATTAAAACATCTGCTCTACTCTTCTCTTGGATTTTAAGATATCACCTCCTGAAAATAAGTTCTGCATCGATCACTTCAAATTTTGCTTGTTGCCAACTTCTTGTGAAATTTCCATGGCTCTGAAAGGATGCTAGGTTTCAACCCTGTTCCCAGATTGCCATAGCAGGTAATGCAGTGGCTGGACCAGAGCGAGGTAACAGTGCCCAGTGGGAGGAGTCCTCACTGCCGATCCCAGCAGGCCTGCGTCTTCCACTCCCAGCCTTCACTGCTGTGCATGTCTGTTCTTTACATTTTCTCTTATGGAAAACACCGAATATTTTTCCAGGTTGCCAGAAGTATTTTATGATTCTTTCATCCAAAATGAAATTAATAAAGTAATCTTTTATAAGGACTTGGAACACAAATGTTCTTTAACTTGCTCAGGTGTATAGCCACTGGTGTTGGCACAGGTCTGGTGAGTCAAGCCTGCTGCCATTTCCTTCTTCCTTTTCTTCCTCCTCCCCCATTCCTCACATACAATTTTCCTCTTTCTCTAAGTAGAAGTAAAATTGTAGCTAACTTCATCTTCCTAACTCACCTAATTGTATTTTTTGCTCCGTGTGGAATTCTTTCCCTCACTGTGGTAGTCACAAGCCTCATTAATAAGCCATGTAAGAAGGAAGGATTTCTTGGGCTCGTGGTTTCAATCCATGGTGACTTGGCCTGAGACAAGGGTGACCATAATGGTGGACAGACAGTGTGGAGGGGCAGAGTGGCCCCCTCACAGCCGCTGGGAGGCAGAGCAGGGAAGGAAGTAGAGAGCCCAAGAAGAAGCTGGAGGCAGCAGAGAGTTGGGCAGGGCAGGAGAGAAGGAAACTGTAGCAGGGGCAAGCTACACCCCTCATGGGTGAGTATATCCCAGTGACCTACTTCCTCCAGTCAGGCCTACTGCCTACTCTACCTCTCACCCCAGCATGGCATCAGGTTGTGAAGCTGTGGATGGAGGAGCCCACTGGTGTAGTCAGAGCCTCTTGGTCATTTCTCCTAAGCTCATAAACTACAAGACTGGGACATCAGGAAGAAACTGGGATACCAGAGTGACAAACTCAGCACCAGCCCGGGTCCGCAGCTGGGTTCTGACTGAGAGGAGTCAGCACACACCTACACCACGCTAAGGGCCCAGCGGTGGTGCTTTGCGGGTCCCTCTGCTATCTGTACCTCGTTCCCCCCAGGCTGCAGGTGAGTGTTCCCCACACTCCCTTCATTACAGTGGTTATTCATTACAGTGACTCTCAGGACCAAGAGAACAGTTCACCTGCCCTAGATTTTGAAGGACAGAAAGTAGTCAGCTGAAGAAATGGGCAGGAAGCACTCTAGAAGGGCCCCCACCCCTTGCCTGGACATGTTGGGGGTGGGCTCAGTCAACCCTCAGCCCAGAGAAGGAGGAAGCTTTCTGACCACATTCACTTCAAGTGCATAAATGAGTGCTGTCCTTTCAAGCCAGAAAATGCTGATCTGTGGCTTGATATTAAAATAATAATAACAGGCCATTATTCTCAATTCACAGTCACAATGGACCAGGCTTAGGGAGCATACGGTGGAATCTACATGGGGAGGGGAAAAATCAGTACGTTTGCCAAATAGTTTAGAATAGGGGAAAGTGGGAGCTTATGGTGTTGTACTAAGGCAATTTATTTTACATAATAACCTTCTAATTTCCAATGGAATATTCTTTTGTGAAGCTTAAGTAAATTGACTCTTAACATCCAACTGAAAAATTAGCCAAATAGGTGGGAATAGCTAAAAAATTTTAGAGAAAATAATTAAAGGTTGCTTAAAAAGATACTGAAACATGATTACTGAATAATTAAATGAGAGAAGACCTGTTTCCAGAATGACTTCAGAAAATATGGGCAGAGCAACTATTAGAATTCTGGAAAACAACCAAAGCTGCACAGCAAACTGAAAATCATCTTCTGAAAAGAAAAGAAAAAAATTATGAAATCTTGATGCAATTAGCAGTTGATTTCTCCATCAGGAAGCGCAGCAGCCAGAAGATGGGAAAGCAATAGACATCAATAACCAAACGTTCCAGTCCTTTTATCAACTCTTCTTGGAAAACAAGAATATGGGTTAACAAAAGGTAAGTGAATTCAATACTTTCAGCGGAACTGTCCTGGGAGAAATCCTAAAGACAGTCCTCTGGATTTAAGGAAAGGTTGCTGGTGGTTATGTTGAACATGCCAGACAGAAAGCTGGGAAGAGTCAGTATATGGAAGTAGTGTCAGAGGCCTGTTCATTCTTGTAAATGCTCTGTGGAAAAGAGATGTAGCTACTGGGCACAGCTGGACAGCCTGAAATCCCAGCAGCTTCACAAGTTCAAGGCTAGCCTGGGCCATAAGATCCTGTTTCAACAAACCTATGATCAAACAAAAATAACCAACCAAACAAAAAAAACAAAGCAGTAATCCATTCTTCGTCCTTAAGAAGCTAGACAAATGAGCAAACTAAACCCAAAGCCAAGGGCTGGGAGTGTGCCAGTATAAGGCCCTGAGTTCAAACTCTGGTATCAGCCAGAAATAAGTAAGAACATTTTATAAGAGCAAAAAATAAAACAGAGAAGCCTAAATAATATTCAGAGGGCCTTTGCTGTGTGGTTCTGTTTTGTTTGAGATAAGAGCCTTACTGTGTGGCTTGGATGGGACTGGAACTCTATGTTGGCTCAGCAAGTGTCTCTCAGAAGAATGGTGAAATTTATGTTACCCCTTATTGATTGGAAGTTTAGCCCATCAGCAAGTGTTTATTGAATGCTTGCTTTCCAGCCCTGGAGTTTTAACTCAGGTCTTGTGATGCTGGGTGTTTGTACACAGGTAAAGAACCCAGCAACAAAGGAGCAAATAATCCAGCCAACAAATGGACAGTGGCATTGGTTGGACACACTTGAGGAAGTACAAATGGCCAAACATATGGGAAAATGGTCAACATTGTTGGCCTTCAGGGAAATACAAGTCAAAATGACATTGATACTGTCTCACCTCTGTTCACATGGGAATAATTGAGAAAGACCAGAAAACCATTGGGGTTTGAGGGTGGGGGTGGGGACAGTGGTCTCCCTTCTTATCTCTCCATCCCATGCACTACTTGGCTTTTTGAGCTTTTTTCATTCCACACAAAGATCTCCCAGCAAATGACATGATTTTTTTTATGACTGAGTAATATTCAATGGTGTATATGTAACTGTATTTTCTTTATTCATTAGTGTTGGGCATCCTTGCTGGTTCCACTGTTTGGCCATTGTAAACAAAGCTGTAATAAACCTAATCTTTTTTTCAGGGCTAGGATTGAACCTGGAGCCTTAGGCCTGCCAGGCAAGTGTTCACTACCCAGCCACCCCTCAGCTCACTCTTAGTGTCTGATGGCGACCCCATCCCTCATTGCCCTGTCCCCGGTTCTTAGTGAGTTCTCACCTCAGCCAGCTGTGCATGTTAGAGTGTGTGTGTGTGGGGGTGAGGGGCCTCGCCCGTCGCTCCTCACAACCATAGAGCCGAGGAGCATCTCCTGTATTCTCTGTACACAGTAAACACTGTGAAGAACTGAGTGTTGGCACAACCTATAAGTAAAAGCATTTAAAAAAAGCAAAAAACAAAAACCCAAGAAGCACAACCTTGAGGGAGAAGCTGGACCACAGCTGTTTCCTGAAGGATGGCGGAGTTTGTGTGTGAGCTTTACAGCCCACCGGGAGCTGGTTCTTGGGGTGCTATTTCATCATGAGGCAGAGGGAGAGGATTTACAGCTCCCCAAACTGGACAGTGATTGGGCAGCCATCAGCATTGTAACCTTCAGGACGTCCAGGCCTTAGTTGTAGCCACACGAGTCCACAGGGACACTGGGGTTCACCCACTCAGAACAGGGGTGTGTGGGGGCAGGAAGCTTACCTTGTAGTCCCTGCTCCTCCCACCTACCCCACCTTTATTTTTCTCCTCTCCAATCACCTTCATGCTCCCTTTGGGTGGCTGATGTGTTTCTGGAGTTCTTCGGGAAAACTGCGTTTCAGCCTTGTCTGACCGTCTAGGGCAAGGACATTGCCCATGCTGGCTGGCGCTCACCCCAGGTGCCAAGCGAGAACCAGTAGCATGTGTGCAGACCCAGGTGCCACAGGGCATGGAGGGGCAGGGGAGGGTGATGGGGCCGGATGGGCAGACTGAGCGAGGTGGGGGGGAGAGGATGGGACTGCTGCTATGTTAGTGCTGGTCAGTAAATTAGGAGAGAAGCAGCATGTGGAAAACTCCAAAGGGAGCGAGTTACGGACAAATGTGGGTGCAAATGTGGGTGCCAGCACTCTACCACTTGAGTCACAGCTTCACTTCCAACTTTTTGCTGCTTACTTGGAGATAAGATTCTCATGGTCTCTTCTGCTTAGGCTGGCTTTGAACAGTGATCCTCAGATCTCAATCTCCTAGGTAGCTAGGATAATTAGAGTGAGCTACCAGCCCCTGGCTTCTGTGTCTTCTTACCCCAAGTCCCAATTTCTCTGTCTCTGGAGATTTCCCTGGAGATGGGCAGAGAGCAGAAACAAGATGGTGGCAGCAGGCTCAAGACCAAAGATTCATTGGAGTATTTTTAATGAATCAATTAGTGCTAGTAACAAATACAAAAAAATACTAATTAATTCCTTGTTAGGGTAAATAAAGTGATAGATATAGTTCTTTTGAGT